GTTCCCTGGGACCAGGCACCACTAAATATTTTTCAGTTGCACAGATAGAGATATAATTGAGTTGCAATCTGCCTGAAGAGAGAACTGCATCTGGGAGATGATAAGAGCAGGACAGTGTACTACCAATCTCTGCATCTTCCTAGAAAATGTGCCTGCTTTTATGGAGCCTGAAACTTGGCTAACAAAGGAATCATTTTTACCACTAACACCACTCAGCTCACTGGGGAAGCTGGTAATCAATTTCTTTCTTCATAACCAAATGTTCTGGAGTTTGCACTGGCTCTGTTATAGCACGGCAACCATATGCCATCTTGCTGCAAAGACAGCACACTAAATATCTTTTTGACCAATGAAGGCGGGTACCATTATCAGTAGCGATTGGCTGCTCTGTCTGCATTTCGTTTCCACTACAGAAAGGTATGAATCTATCTCTTCTCCTCCCAGTTATGGTTTGAATAGCATGACAGATTGGGTCCTATAGCCTTGGTTGGCAACCTACTGTGGGAAAATCTTCAGCATCATCAGTCATGAATTGTAAGAGATATAACTGTCCATGTGGCACTTAACTGGATGAACAATAATTATTTTAACAAATGATACGGAATCTTTGCAGTTCATCTTTGAAGACAGAGTGAAATGAAATAAATACATCTAAGTGACAAAAAAAGTTGCAATCTCTGGAGAAAGCAAATCATATAAGGTTTAATTGATTCATTCATTTTTTATGGGTTATCAAACTAAATCATATGAGTGTTGTAAGTATGTGTGTCTGTTGGGGATGTAAGTTGCAAAGTTGAAGAACTGACTCTCTGACTGAATCATTTTTGTGTTCATTGAGTGAGTGAGTGAGCGTGTATATGTGTGTGTACATGTGTAATAGCATCAGAGACACAAATAAGTTTAACTGATTACACTGGTGAACAGAGTTTCATTATAGGGGTTACTAGGATCAAACATGACATAATATTTCTTGGGATTGATAGTAGGGTGATTTCTCATTGCCTTCTCCACAGTGACTTATTTAGACACTACCTCAGGTTAGCTGGCTGTTGACTCCTCGTGAGTTCTTTCGCAAAGTGGAAACTTATACTTAAAATCAGGAAGAGACAATTGAAATTTCTGGGGCACATAAGGAAGGAGGGCTTGAAAAATCTAATACTTACAGAACAGATTAAGAGAGACAGGAAAACAATGTATAACATATTTGATGAGCTTGAGAAAATGGATGGCAGAACAGGGTTTAGAAATAAATTTCAGGATAAGGCTGCAACCAACCATTATCAAGCCAGGTCTGCAGCTCATGTTTGTATTCCTCCTTGACTACCCCTGGTATTGGGTACTCGGGCATCCGATTTCTCAAACTCTCTGGTGATCAACCATCCGACCACTTCCATGATGCGACCCATATCTTCTGGTTTAGGTCAAATTCGGCGCAGAAATCAAGTTCTTCTATTTCAATAGCAGTGTAACAAACTATCCCAGGCTTGGGAAACCGTACATCACCACACTGTGTTATTTGGAGTCCGCCCAACTTTTTAATGGCGTCGAATCCAAGCAACAAGTCAAAACCCAGTAGCTCTCCATCCACTACCAAGACATCAATTTTGAGGGGGTTTGCATTCATTCATAACTCACTTATGGAAGAGACCGGCGCTGACGTCTTGTCCCCTTCTTTTCCCTGGACACAATGAAGCAATGCGGCCTACTTCTTGACACCAGGAGCAACGTATTGTTGTGTGTGACCCGCGTGGCTGACAGCCATCTTCGAACAGGGCGTCGATAACATCGCATACTCTCCCGACATTTAACATTTGGATGTTTATCAGCTCCACCTGGTGAAATGGTAGCCGCAACCATTTCCTCAGTTGCATTTTGATCTTTCATTATGGCCTGAGCTTGGTCCAACAGTTGGCTTGTATTCATGTCTTCCATCCTGGAAGACACGTGCAGTAGTTGCTTGACGTGCACTGGTAACCCTGCTATGAACCCACATGCTAATCCTTGCTCCGATATCCTGCCAAATAGACCAGCTAGCTTCTTCAAGTCGGCTAGAAACACGTCGCTGGACTCGTCCGGGTGCAGTCGGTGTTCCGCAAATTGTTCATAAGCCAAGAAACAATCCAGTGCAAAGGCAACTGCAGGGCTTGTTTTATTTGCTCGACATCGGATTTTTGTTCCGAGTTTAACTGCTGGTAAACGGCAAATGCTCTGCCTGTCAACCTCAAAGGAAGAACACGTTCAACCTTTTTAATTCCACACAGGTCACAAACAAGTTCAGCCTTCTCAATCCATTCAGTAACTGCTTGTCCAGTCACTGAACCATCAAACTTCTGGTATCAACTTGACATCAAATGTCTTGTTCGTCATAGTGCCAAAATAGGTTGTAGTCGATCTGGGATTGCAAAGGAAATGTTTGTTGCAGATTATTTCCACTTTGCTGAGAATAAATCACTAAGTTCAGACTCAAACATTGGGGACCGAAAGAAAATGCCGAAAACTCTATTCGCAAGTACTATTTCACAAATCACAATGCACGCAACCAGTCAGAAAAATAACTCCCTTGGCAGCCAAAATCGCCAACTTTTTTCCCCCGATTCGAGAACACCAACTGCTTTTATCGGCCGAACGTTTTCTTTTCCATTTGTCGACAACGGGAAGAGGATGTTCAGTAATTTGCATATCAACATACTTTATAGCAACTCCTGCGACAGACTTGTTTTTTAATTCAAATATTCCATTTTCAGCATGTCATACGGAATACATGCCCTTTTGTTTGGTAAGTAATTTTCTTTTTCGCCACATTTTCTGTCGTAGAATACACGTGATGCGCTGTCGCTTGGTTTGACAAGGTAAGTCATTGTTTTCTTCGCTATAAAGTCAAAATAAAATGTTTCGATTAGACAATAAATCAAGAAAAATGTTTCATTTCAAACTATAACCTGGATATTGTTGACTAAATCTTTTGAAGTTGGAATTAGATTTTAGTTCAAAAGATTTTCTTATTGTTTTAATTGTTTATTAGATTTTAATTCATCCTGAGCAATATTTGATGGTTTCACTACACCCAATTCCATATTCGTGAGAAGTAAGACTGAAAGAATAGTTGAAAGCTATTGTCTGTGGGTTAGGAAGTGAAATTCATACATAGTCTAGTTCAATGGAATATGCCAAAATGGTATTACAAGGATGAATAAACTAATACAAAATTACTCCTTAGTATGGACAGCCGATTGAGAACAGTCTACATATGTGGATTGAATAAAGGCCTCAGTTTGAAATTTCAAGAATGTTAGCAAATTTGACAGGTATATGAAAAAGGATGTTTTTCTCAAATGTAACATTTAATTCTGGAAAGTAAGAAAACAGATTGTTATACTTCGCTGAAAATTAGATCTCTTTTAGATTCACTATCCATCTAAGCCAGATGTGAAAACTACAACATAAAACACACATATCACCACCTCTAGTAATTATGTCCACACAAACTTGTATATATACAAAAGCTGAGTATCATCTACCATGTATTCAGTTGTGAAAGCAGAATAACTTGACATTTTTATTATTTCAAAGGTCCCAAGAAAATTAAATTCGACCATTAAATATTGATATGCCATTAGACAAATCAACAAATTAGTGTAAACAATAAACATTGCCAAAGAGTGAAGGTAGTTAAAATAATAGCAGTGACAATGGGAAAAAAAAACTGTCCTTTTTGATACACCATACACCAGGCATGAAGGTTCAAGTTTGCCAAAAATTATTTTTTTCTTTTTTTAATTCAATTTCTTCATATGAAGACAGTTTTCATATGACAGGAAATAGACTTGAAGCAGGAAGATTTCTTAATGACTCTGGTTACTACTTTGACTTGAACTGTTACTTGAATTTCTTCTTCTCTTAGGAAGACAGTTTTCATATGACAGGAAATAGACTTGAAGCAGGAAGATTTCTTAATGACTCCGGTTACTACTTTGACTTGAACTGTTACTTGAATTTCTTCTTCTCTTAGGAAGACAGTTTTCATATGACAGGAAATAGACTTGAAGCAGGAAGATTTCTTAATGACTCCTCTTACTATGTTGTCTTGACTGTTACTTAGACTATCACACAGACTGACTACTTGATATGATAGCTATATCCACATTAACCTCTTCTTTATCTTCAAGCAATTTCTTTTCTTTGGCCCTTTGAGGATCTCCTAACATTAGCAACTCTATCATCACTACCCCGAGCAACAATATGGACATAGTAGTTAACACAAGAATATGCATGAATATTTAATATAATAATGCAAGGCTCAATTTTAAAGTGTGTTACTTGAAGGGTATAAAATGTCTAACTTAATGACTCTACATGCCTTTAAAGCTGAAACTGTGAATATTAATAATTTGATATATATTTTAGATGATGTGTAACTTTGACCTTTCTTCAGAAATTAGTTAATTAAATTTTATTTTCATTTGGTATACACTCAGAATGGATATTTTGTCTAATAATTTTTAATAAAAAGATGTTTTTGTTTTGAAACTGATTAATTAATCAAATATATTCTAATATTATGTCTGCTATATCTTGAATCTCTCTAAATGTTCATATTATAAAATCCTAACTTAGATAGATTTTTTAAAGTTTTTCTTCACAAAAAATCAATTTTCATTCAATAATGCCTCAATATAATGCACTTCAACACTCTTTGCACCAAAAACTAAGTTATAGTTCTTTGGAAAAAATGCACTTTAGTTTGATTTAAAATAAGCCCTTTTCAATTTTTATTTTATTTTATTTTTTTTATTTATTAGTTAATTATTCTTCATTTATTTATTATTCCAGTACACAGTAACCGTCAATCTTTTACATTGTAAACCAATATTAAATAAGTCGGTGAGAGTTACTGGCCATGCTTGTAGTAGTTTCAATATTCATTAGTTCGTCAATCGTCCGTTAGGTGGCAGAGTAAGCAAGTTGTAGACATTATTAATAAGCCTGATTCATAATTCCAGGACCTCTACGACTGCGGATTTTTCCTCAAAAAGCAAAGGACGTTTTGGTAAATGTGTTCGCCTTATTTCTCTTACTGACACTTTATTAACACCTCAAAAGCTTCAGCTTTCTGCCTTACTAATATCTACTAACTGTTAAGGTCGAGGAAGGAAACATTTTACTACTGATCTATCACTGAACAACACTAACAGTCTTTATTTTAATTAACACAGGATTTCGATCGCTGTTTTGTGTTATTTATTCAGATTATTGTTGAGGTCAGAACAAGAATAATAATTATCATCATAGGAAGGAGGAAAGCTTGAAGAAGCCGACTTTAGTGCTTTTTCTCGGTGAGAATGTCAGTCAGTGCTGACAGGGAGCTTTTTAATGTTCCGTTGTCTAGCGACAGTGAAGCAGGAGACACTCCGACATCCACATTAACCTCTTCTTCATCTTCAAGTAATTTGTTTTCCTCGACCCTTGGAGGATCTTCTAACATTAGCAACTCTATCATCACTACCCCAAGCAGCAACATTATTACAACTATGAAGACGACAGATGACATCACTAGTGACACGCGTAGTGAAACCTACAGGTAAGAAGAAGAAATAAAGAAGTTTCTTTTTATTTTTAAAGAAATGAATAAATAAATGAATGAACTCTTCCCGTTACGTTAAGTGTAAGTGTCTGAAAAGAAGGAATTTGTTGCCTAAAACTTATGCTTGGCTTTTACCATTTTAGGATGTTTTTTTGAAATCCTGACTAATTGAATCCAAGATGAGATCTCTACCACTGAAGATTCACTAAAAAATGACTGAATATATGATGAAAGAATGCCCCAGACTTAATAAAAAATAAAAGCTTTATCGTCAAAATACTTATTATTAAGAGGCAAGACCAAAAGACTTTTTTAAAATAAAAATCATATTTTTAATCTTTTTTTAGAACCTTCAAAATTTTGGTTAAAAATTATACTACAAAAACAAAAAAAGACTTCTGTTTCTGCTTGCTTTTTGACTCCTAATTTTAATTACGCACCTTAATCACATTGATCATCTTAAGATTATGGCTATGTATAAAAAAATTAGTAATGGTTACATTTTCTTGTTTTTCTCATTTTATTTGGTAACATTTTTAAAAGGTAAAAGTAAAACTAAAAAAAAAAGCGATTATTTAAAAAAAAATATGCATATGAAAACTTCGTAGGAAAAAGTGAGCTTTTTAAACAGAACTACTTACGGTTAAATGATCACTTATCAATTGTCATCTTCACTACCAAGATTCTAATGATTAAATTTAAATAAATGACGTTATCTAAACCAAATAATTTAAATTTAAAATGACTGTCTTATGGCCCTTACCAACTATATACTCTCCCGTTTTAATATTATTTAATGGATTTTTTTTTTTTTTGCATGAATCAGTTTTTAATGTACAAAAACATTTAGAGACGTCTTTTATACCAATTGACAAATAAACTGCATTTCTGGATTTTAGACAGGAAAAGGATTATTTTAAAAAATAAATGACTCAGTCATTGACACTGGTTGTGAAATGAAAACATTCATCGTTGCAACAATTTGCATGATAGACAAAAAAAAAAAAAGGTGAACATTCTGAAATTGATATTTACTTTTTAGTTGCTTTTTTTCTTTAATAAAACGTCTTTTTTCTTACTTCAGCATAATTTAACGTTGCTTGTTAGTTTGCTTTTTAAAAATATCCTTCTTTTAGCTAAAAAAATAGAAGCTTTATTTTACATAATTATTTTACATTACTTTTTTTTCTTTATTAATAACTAATTCCTCTTTAACGATTTAAATTATTTTTGCGTTTGATAATTTAAAAAAAAAAAAAGAAAAAAAAAAGTCTATTTCCCGGGACGAATGAATGAAAATAACGAGGGAGGGAGCAGGGAACCAGGTGACGTCATCATGCTGAACCATTCGGAAAATGAAACTGCTATTCGCTTACTTATGAATAACTCTCTCATTCGGAACGTACCATTCTCGCTGTTCATAAATATATTCCGGTTTCAATGTTAATAATCTTCCTCTTTGATTTATTAGAAAATTCAATCCTTTAAAGTTTATTCTCATTGGATTTAATTACATAAAAAAAGGTTTTTATTTATCCACCACCCTCTTTGTATTTTTATTTTAATAATTTTAAAAAATATGATTTTAAATAAAAAAAACGGTAATTATAATTAATTTAGGGATAGGTTCAATCAATAACTTACATTTTTTTTTTTTCTAAATTCAAGCATTTTTATTGAAAATGTCGAAATTCTATAACCTTGGTATATCTAGAGCCCAAGTGAGGATAAAAATATACCTTTTTGTTTTAATTTATTTATTTATTTTTAAATATCTCAAAATTTATTCGGCTTTCAAGCCCCTTAAAACGAGATGCGCGGCTTTTCTTTGAAACACTTTGGCGACAGGTTGTCTAACAGGATGATGATCATTAAGTTATTATCATTATTATTTAAGTCAAGTGCTATTTCCGTTTTCTCTCTGTAACTACATAAACAAACTAATTAATTATTGGTTTGATTTGTTTTAATTACACCTGCAATAAGGCCACTCCCATTTTTGATACTTTTTTCTATTTTTATTTTTTTAATTTGTGTAGTATTTTTTATTTATTTATGTGTATTGATTGTGTAATAATATTCATAAGGATCTCTGAAATCAGTGACTTAGAATAATTTGATTGAAAAAAAAAAATGACCTTTTAACGTTATCTTTTTTTATATATATGAAAGGGTTAATAATGGCCAATATATGTATTTTTAAAAAATCCGTGATTTAAGAAATCTATAAATAACTATTTTGTTGTGTATATCTTGTAATAACCGGCACTATTATAGTCCCCCCCCCAAAAAAAAAGACATATTTATTTCAAGTGTATTTAAAATGTACATTATGACATTTCAATTGAATGTCGGGAAACTTAGATTTTCAGTCAAATAAATCATTTAAGGTATTTTCAATTTCAAAAACCAATAATATTAGACAGGATGTAAATCTGGTGATTTGATGCCAAAAAAAAAAATGGTAAAATTTTGAGTCTTTGATTCCACATAAACTCTGCAAAGTAATTGTCCATCATATCATGATTTATTGGTCCATGGATTGATTTGATTTTTGCTAAAGAGCTTCCACATGACTTGTGGTTAAGTAGGATTGCAAAAGTAATGGCAACCATTATTGCTATTAAAATAGACTGGCTTCACGAAAGTGAGGAAAATAAAAAAAAAAATTGGTTTAATTACAATAAACTGTAGTTTTTTTTTTTTTTTTTAAAAAGACAAAGGGAGGGAGGGGAAGCAGCTGATCAGTTTTCATTCATCCCTCTTTTTGATGAGCGGATACATTATCTCCAAAACTGAGTTGGGACAGATAAGTTTAACACTTTATTTGTTATATATATCATATACATCTGTAATCTTTTAAGATACTTTTATTTTAAATAGTGTAGCTTGGTCTTTATGTAAAAATTTCTACAAATCTTTTATCATAGATTAGAGATTTTCCTTTTTTAAAAATTTAATAGATTAGAGATAGCCTGTTATAATTTTCCATCACTAACTTGAATATTGACTTTAATTACACAAACATTTCTCAGAATCTACTCTTTCTCTCCTGATTAAATACATTTTCTATGAGGGTAAGTAAAAAAAAAAAAAAAAAATATTATTCACACTTTGGCCATAACATATCTTTAGGTTTGTTGCACTGCCTTCTGCTCATGTGTGCTTATAGTTTGTCCTATTGTGGTCATGTGATTGAAGTTTGAGCTTGATTACATCAGATTTGTTGCTGCTGTTACAGTGTAAACATGGCTGCTCCGGTAGCAGTGTGCACCATGGAGGAACAAAATGGTGATTCGATTTTTCTCTGGTTGAAAAGTGGCGGGCTGAAATTCAGGCTTTTAACACAATCTGGTGATGGTGCATTACCACATAGAAATGTGTATTCAGTGCCAGATTTAGGACAAATGAGGGTCTCTTACTTGGGCCCTGGAGGAGATATGCCAGGCATAGAAGGAAGACGCCCCCCCTCGAATAATGGGGGCCCTGTGCTTAAGCACAGTGTTAAGTGGCCAGATGAGTGTGATGTACTAAGGAACAAGACGCTTGTCAACCTCCACCTCCTATGAGAAAATTCAGCAAGTTCAAGAGATGGTAATGGGAGACTGAGGAGTTACCATTAGTGAGGTAGCAAGTTCTCAGCAGATTCAGATCACTGCTTTTTGTTAATCCCTTGGTGCACACTGCTAGTGCAGTGGCCATGTTTACACTGTAACAGCAACAAGAAAACTTGCCCAATCAAACTAAAAATTTGATCATGTGACGACAATAGTATTAACTATAAGCACATGAACAGAAGGTAGTGTGGCAAACCTAAAGATTTGTTATGGCGAAAATGTGGATAATTTTTCTTACCCCCATATTTTTTTAATTTAATGTCTGTGTATCTGGAGCTGCTGAATCTTCACTCTACAACCTTGATAGAGATCAGAAGCGTCTTCGCAGGATGAATTATTTTTCACTCTCCTATTCCGCAAGTGGAACATTGCAAGCCTCTTGCCATTTCCATGGCAAATGCTTTGACAAACAACATTCCTTAGACATGGTGTGACATGTACACTGAAAAAAATCCCCTATTGCCTTCATATTCTGTTAGTAAGAATGAAGTTCACTTTGGACAACTTCTTTCCAAGATCCACTGCTTTGTGCAACAAACTCCTTTCATCGGTCATTACAATCTTAACCTCTTTTGAGTTAACTGGTATCTATCCTACATATCAACTTAAGCTACACTTCTTACCTCAATCAGTAACCCTTTGAATGGCTCATGAACCTTGTATTGCATTAACAATTAGTTCAAAACTAATTTACAAAGAAATATGAACTGTATAGATCACTCAACTGGATATCAATTGCAATAAGTCTGTTTGTTTTTCTTGAAAAACGAAAATCATTACAAGCAAGGCAATACCTATAACCAGTTTGGATTTGTCTTGATTGCAAGTAATGATACCATACAATAGGAA